TGGGGGGTTTAAATCAAATGAGAACCACAAAATGGTTATAAACTTGGAGAACCGGTTAAAAAAGATTTGTACCCTTTTTGTTCATCAAATGTTCGAAGTTTTTCTTTTAAAGTTCGACGATATAAAAAAACCTCATCGAAGGGCTCCAAAATATTATATATATATATATATGTGTGTGTGTGTGTGTGTGTGTGTGTGTGTGTGTGTGTGTTGGGAGGGTTAAATCAAATGAGAACCACAAAATGGTTATAAACTTGTGAGAACTGGTTAAAAATATTGTATGCCTTTTGTTCATCAAATGTTCGAATTTAAGATATTGTTTGACATATATTTGTTTTATAATGTGATAGTTTCACATCCATTTGTTTCACATTGTGAAACTTTTGTTCATATATTTTTCGGTTCACTAAGTGAAGCAAAAAAAGTTTCACATAGATTTTTTTCACCATATGAACACAAAGATATGTGAAATAATAGTCTTTGATGAAAAAAAAAATCATATAAAAATATTTTTATATCGGTTCTCACGGGTTTTTAACATTTTTATAGTTCTCATTTGATTATCGTCCAATATATATATATATATATATATATATACACACACACACACACACACACACACACATACATACATACATACATAGAGAAATATTCATTTGAGAAGTGGTAAATATTTGAGAAGTAGAGAAGTGATCTTAATACTTTATCTGATCAATGTTAGCGGCTTGACTATAAAACACATGATAATTCCTCGTATAGATATGTGGAAGATGGAGGGGTAGTTTTATAACTTTTACAAATAGACGGCAAACGGGTTCATATGTGAACCTATGTGCTTCACATATAACTATATGCTCATATATGAACTATTTAACTGATTCATATATGAACCAACAAGTTCATATATGAATCACACGGATTCATATGTGAACCAGTTAAAATAGTTTATATGTTAATTACACGGGTCACATACGAACATAAGAGGTCAAGAATTCAAACCTCATCAAAGGTGAGGAAGGTGTGTGAATTTATTTTGTTTTCATTTGTCGTATATAAATATTATAAAAAAGCATATAGTTCATATGTGAATTACATGAGTTCACATATGAACCTATTTGTCGTCTATTTGTAAAAGTTACGAAACTACCCGCTCTATTTTTCTTAAAGCCACAATTGTTGACCAATTAAAGCCACAATTATTGATCAGTCAAATCCAATCTTGACCATATGAAGGGTTATAATCACTTCTTTACTTCCCAAATATTTATCACTTCTCGAAATAACCTATGGCTATATATCTATATATAAATTATTTTGAGAAGTCGTAAATATTTGAGAAGTAAATAAAGGATTTGATTGGTTAAGAATTGCGGCTTTGACTGGTCAAAATTGCGGACATACAAAAAATAGAGGGAATAGGTTCATAACTTATACAAATAGGTGGCAAACGGGTTCATATGTAAACCTATGTGATTCACATATGAACATATGTTCATATGTGAACCCATGTAGTTCATGTATGAACTATTTTAATTGATTCACATGTGAACATGTTAGTTCATATATTAATCAGTTAAATAGTTCACATGAATTAACGAGTTCATATATGAACATATATCTTATATGTAAATTATGTGGTTTCACATATGAACCCGCTTGCTGCCTATTTGTAAAAGTTGCAAAATTACCTATTCATCTTGCGCATACCCATGTAAGGAATTATCTGATGCTTCATGGTCAAGGCCGCAACTATTGACCAGATGTAGGGTTAGGATCTCTTCTTTACCTTTCAGATATTTACCACTTCTCAAATGAACCTTTTCCTATATATATATATATATATATATATATATATATAGGGGCTTATTCAAGGGAGAACTGAGTTGTTTGTGGTAACTGTAAGAACCAATATTAACCACAAATCAATAGATAAATTAGAAAATTTATAAATTTGGTAATTTTAAATTAAAATCTTAATGCAAGGATATTTTTGGTATTTTAAAACTCTCCTCTCTCCTCTCTTCTCTCTCCTGCCACCGTTCTTCGGCCTCCGGCCACCGTCCTCCGGTGATACCACTATGATACCACTGTGATACCTAAAAATA